CAGGGGTCGGCAACCTTTTGAGTCGGAAGAGCCAAAATTACAATTTACAAAATTTCAAAGTTTTTAAAGAGCCACAAAATTTTTTCTTGCCAACAATAAATAGTACTCGCATAAATACAATAGAGCGTCGTTTATCTGAATCAATTGGGGACTGGGGTGGTTCGGATAACTTATTTTTCGGATAACGAATCATATACGAAAAAAATATATTAATTTATCCCATGTTGAAATTTCTCTTTGTTGCGTGTCGCTTCGCGTTGAATTTTCGTCGATGTTAAGCCTAACGAAGACTATTGTATCGTTAAAAATTATTTTTTTATTTTGACCAAACAAAATAAATGTATTGAAAAATATAAAAGCAATAAAAAAATTATACTTCAGATGTTAATTCAGTATCAAAAACGTAAAATATTTGAGTAGCCCGAGAAATAGCCGAAGATTGCAGCGCTACAGCACTAGCGAAAATTTAAATTTGCCGAATGGAATGCTTTCGGATAAACGACGCTCTAAAGTTTTTTTATAAAAAAACTAATCTATTTTTTCNGTTACACTCAAGTTTTTGTTTGTATTTAGCGTAAAATTCCTAGTTAACTTAAAATTTACTATTTTTTATTATTTAAAAAATAGCCTTAAAACGAAGACTTCTCACATTAATTCTATCAATTATAGCTGGACTTGATAATAAATAAATAAAAATGTTAATAATTGAAGAGAGTAGTGGTAGGGGGGAGGTGGGTTAAGTACTTTTAGCGTTAGAAGGAAGGTCGCATGATCGTATAGAAACAGGTTAAAAGTTGATAGTGAATAATATTATTGGTGAAGTTGAGCATGTTTTGACATGTTATCCGAAATACTAGGAACAAATATAAACAACGTGTTGTTGGATTAGATCATGTTTCAACAAGCTAAATAAGTTCAGTATCTTGCTGGCCATCTAATGCCACACTCAGTTTATATCCAGCATTTGAACGCTACTGTGCTTGTATTTTTATTTCTGGAATATGGCTCGCAGAGATTGTGTAATTTCTCCAGACAGCTTCTGTTATGTTTGTGGTGAATACGCAGTGAAAAGTCAACAAAGAAACATAAGTGAGTTTGTGAAGAAAGTTTAATTTGCATATTTCAAATTGAAACTTGGAAATCGAGACAAAGCAGATTTCTGGAAACAATAGGAGAAAAGCAAAAAGAAACATGGAACTCTTTCAAGAATGTAGTGCATAAGTTTTTGGGGAATACTAAGGACCCTGACTACAAAACCATTGTACAATGCATGCTGGCAGCCTATGAAGCTCAAGGATGCAAGATGAGCTTAAAAGTTCATTTCTAGCACCCCCATATTTGACTATTTTCCCGAAAACTTTGGAGCCTACAATGAAGAACATTGTGAAAGATTTCACCAGGATGTCTGTAATATCGAGAGACATTACCAAGGAAAATTATATGTCAATACGTTAGCTGACTACTGTTGGATGCTAAATCGAGAAACCAGAGAAGAAAATCAGAAATGAGTTTGGAGGAGCATCAAAAAGAAGAAGAAAATGTTTCATAAGGAAAAAGAGTAGACCTAAAATTGTGTATAAATATCAGAAACAATTTGTTGATTAGTTGTAAGAAAATATTTATTACAATGAACTAAATATATTATAAGAGGTTTTATCAAAAATTTGTTTTTATTTTTCAAAAAACCTTTAGGTGATGGGATGTAACAAAAGTTATTTTTAGAATCTGTGATCTTTAAAACATATAATTCAGCAAAAATATTCCATGCAGCTGGAAAAATTTTTTTAGCAGATCTGTGTTTTTTTTTGATTGCTTCATCTCATGCATTTAAATTTTAAATCGACCGATTTTAGATTGCCGCGTGTACCCCTTCACGCAATTTCGCGTACCCCCAGGGGTACGCGTACCACTATTTTGGAACCACTGGTCTATATGGTTCCTCTCAGGGACCACAGATTCCAGTGAGATCTACTTTACGTTAAATCCACAAGGCGCTCTTTGAACAAAAAGTTACAAGAACATGGGTATGATATCGTCAACCAGAGACATACCACCGTCTTAGCAGTCTATGCTACTGATCCTGAAATACAAGCCAACCTTCATACGGCCAAATTGGTAAAATGCCTGATCAAGTTCAACACCTTCCCAACCTGGAAGCGTTAGAAATATACAAAGCAGGCCTGTCTGGCAACTGCATTAATGCAAAGGATGCCGCTAGTACTTCATATGCATGGAGGTGGTGCTATGAAAAAAGTAATGGGAATAACACTAGCTAGTAGATAACATTTCTACACCAGTATTTGCAACTTATTATTTGTGTGTGTGAATGTAAAGATATTTTTATCACTTTATTAACATGTACAGTAAAAAACGTTTTTCAAGATTTAAATATATTGGAATTTAAAAATAATTTATAAACACTGTGTTCGAATTTCCGGTTTCGAATTTATACTGACCATTATCCTGACGAAGACCAAGTTTATGGTCGAAAATGTTCGTTTTGTTTAAATTTGTTCATACTGGGATATTAAAAAGGTTTTTTTGTGTTGATTATTGTAGCTTTTTGAAAGAAATGTGAAATGTTGAAATAAAATAAATAAGTAAATAAATAAAATATTCAATTTTTTGTTATTATAACTATATTCCATTCAAAGAAAATCAACTTTTTCAACAAACCATTGCTTTTGAAACTGAGACAAGTCCATTGGCACTTACCAAAACTGTGATTTTTTTCACCTAACACAGATAGCCATTATTGTATATTAAATTTACATGAAAGAAAAACAAAAAAAATATATAAATTAAGTCTATTACTGCTTACGAATATTTTTAAACTCATTCAAATACAAACTATTAAATATCTAGCAATAACATAAAATGGACTTGCCCCACTTTCAAAATGAACGACTCATATATATATATATTAAAGTTATGTTATTTGTATTTTTAAGAACTCACCAGTACATTGCATACAGTACACATCTTTTTTGTTTCGTATGGTACTAATCGAGGAACGTCGTCGTCATTTGATGAGTAATGCCTAACGCTGAGCTCAAAAGCTTTCTGCCTAATTAGTTCAATATTTTCTTCGTGTCTTCGAGCACTTTCTTCTTGCTATAATTTAAAATTTTTATTGTCACATAAATGTAATGCATTATTTATTTTTAGCTTTATGATAAATTTTCATAATTTATTTAAAAGCCTATAAATTTTATATGGGATTATATAAATAAAAAGCCTAAACTATAATTCATATTTATTAATCAAATAATCAAGCCAAATTCATTATTAAAGCTACATTGTGGCTAATTAAATAAACAAAATATGGAATAATACATACATACATACATACGAGAAAGACATTGGCTGCACATGAAATGTTTAGCAGGCATTAAAGAGGGTAAGGGAAAGGGGATGAGAAGAAGGAAGGAGTGGAAGATAGACAGTAGAGAAATATAGGATCCCTCTGAATGGCATACATATGGCTACAGTACCCTCTATGTTTGATGTTGATGTGTAGTTTTTATGCTGCAAGGCCATAGTCCCCCAAAGGGTCTAAAAGAAAACCTGAGTTTAACAAACACCAATAACTGAGTGCAGCCACAAATAGCTAAGTGTAGAAGTTAGTGCCAAGTGGCTGTTAGTAGGAAGACTTATATCTACTTAATACTATAAAACTAAATGCAAACACAAATCTTAATACTAATTAACAACTAGACAGACAGCACAAAAAGCAAACAAACACAATGACAAACTAGATGAGATAAATGGACTGACAGAGACAATCAGGCAAGACCCCAATTTTGTTTTTTTTTTTTTTTTTTNTTTATTTATTTATTTTTTTTTTTTTTCCAAACATTAACTTACTCATTAACTAAACTAACCTACCATAACGTAGGATGAACCTAACCAGATGACAAACCCTAATATAATTTATCATAACCTAACTGGAAACCAAGCTAAGAGTCCCTAGACGAGATGAACGAGACGAACGGACCGACAGAAGACAAACGAGCAAGACCCCAAATTTTTTTATTTTTTGCTTTTTTTAAACATTAACTTACTCATTAACTAAACTAACCTACCATAACCTATGGCAAACCTAACCAGAGGACTAAAGCTAACAATCCCTAATCTAATTTAACCTAACCTATCATATCCTAATTGGAAACCAAGCTAAGAGTCCCTAATCTAACTTATAACTAGGACTAACTGAATTTAGACTGAAAAAGAAGACGGAAAATAAGAATTAAAATATAAAGTTCAAAGACAGATATATATCAATGGTTGAAACAAAGTAATGGAAGGCTAATTGCCATCCATGCCCCTGGAGTGAGTGCTCTCAAGAGCCCCACTAAGGGATATAAATGTGATAGATGATGGAACATTGTATGTGTGTGAATAAGTTGGTGTGGATTGCAAGCCAATTGTACTCTTCAAGAATAGCAGCTCTCATTAAACTATCCCTAATGTGATTGTACTACCTATTGCAGCGATTGTGGTGTTTGGTCCTCCTGAACACCACAATCGCATTGTGGATTGTCCCCAAGGTAAAATCTATGCAAGTATTGCTTGAAGTTGCCATGTCTTGTAAGTAGTTGAGTGAGGGTGTAACTAGAGTAAATGTGGCAAAGAATTGCAATAGTGTCAACCTTGGGGATGAAAGTGTAGGTGAGCCTACCAGTGGTGTCAGGGTCCTAGCTGTCTTGCCAGAGAATGAAGATTTGCTGAAGTACAAGGTAGGAATGTAACTGAAAATACTAGTGACTGAAGACTTTGCAGCTTGTTTGGCAAGACAGTCAGTGGTCTTGTTGCCGAGAACCCCCGCATGACCCAGGACCCATTGGAAATCTATTCTAATGTTGTTGTCTAAGTGTCTGAGAATGTGGTGTATGAGATGGACGAGTTTTAAGCAGTTATCAGACTTTGCAATCCTGTATAAAGCAATCCTGTATAAAGCTACCCTACTGTCAGAATAAATGTAATAGTGTAAGTAGTGTCTTTTGTCCTTCTTACACCTAATGTGAATTAAGCTCATATAAATAGCTAAAGTTTCCACCTGTGCTATTGAGTAGTGTGAACCTAGACAGAAGCATGTGTTGTGAAGCTCGCGGCCTATGTCAGAGTAAACTACAAAAGCGATACCTACTTTGTCACCCATCTTGGAACCATTAGTGTAAATCCTAAACAAAGGATGATCACTTGGATCTTCAAAGTAAATGTCAAGAGCAAGCTGGTGGGAGGGGTGGTAATCGTAAGTCAGGAGGATATTTTTGTCGATGCTGAATTTTTTGATATCATCAATCAAGCTCAAACTGGGGGGAATCTTACCTACTCTAATCATTTTGTCGACATCTGAGTTGCTATAATCTTGCCAGGGTAAGGTGATGAGATTTTCCTGCCAAATAATGCATTTAATTTCTAAGTTGATAGGGGTCAATCCTAACATTACCAAAAGGGCACTAGTGGGTGTGGTCCTATAAGCCTTACAAATGCGGAGAGCTGCAATCCTTTGAACAGATAATGATTTTTTACGGTTATGGACTTTGACGACCAAGTGGCCCCAGACCTGTACAGCATAGAGGAGTGCTGGATGAATTGCACCCCCGTAAATAAGCTTAGTAGTGGTAGGGCCAAGGCCCCATGTGTTCCTAGCAATACTAATGAGAGCGTTGGCCATCTTTTTAGCTTTGTTCATGACATATTTGATGTGGGGTGTGAAGTTATGTTGCTTGTCAAGAATAAAGCCTAAATATTTAATTTCCATTGTTTGCTTTATTCTGTGAGCCTCTACTCGAAGGGTAAGCTTCCTGACGAGTGGCATGTTCCTACCAACTATCATGCTTTCACATTTATCTGTGTTAATGGGTTGCCTATGTTTAACACTCCAGTGGTGAACATTATTGAGAATATCATTGAATATGTCCTGTAAGCGTTCACTGTTCCTGTGTGAAGCTAAGATAATTGTGTCGTCCACATAGCATTGTATGTGGCAGCCAGGAAGCAGGGTGTCGTTTAAGTGCAGAATAGAGTTATAGGCTATGTTCCAGAGACCAGGACAGACCTGGATCCCTGAGGACAGCCTCGAGTGATGGGTATGACTATGTTATTTTGTGTTGTATAAACACCTGCACTCCTGTTGCTAAAATAGGATTGAAGAAGTTTGTAAAGATTTTGAGGGCAGGGATGAACATGTAATGTGTGCAAGATAGAAGGCATGATCAAAGGCACTTCTAAAGTCAACAGTGATAATTGCAGTATGCTGACTGTTTTCTTTAGCCTGGTATGGACTAATAGTAGACAATTAAATATCATCTCGTATTAAATTTAATAATTAGAATAAATTAACTAATTTAGAATGTTCTGGAAGATAAGATCAATACAGAGTGAGATCCGAACTTATAACTCCTGTTTATTGTGCAGCTGCATAACCAATTATACTACCCAGACCAATTAATTTAGAAGGTATAAATGTACCAGTTACTCACTGCACCAGCCATGGACAATTATGTACTTATGGCCCCTGAGACACTTGACCAGTTTAACCTTTAGGCAGAGGCTCAGATTCAAAAAATAGGCTACAGTGTCCTTTGGTTAACGATGGCAAAAGAGGCACTGGCCCAAGCATGGCTACTGTAATGCCCTCAACAGATGTGAGGAACCAACCTAGCCTTGGTGTTTCCATGACAATGTATCCACAAACCACAAAAACTGGAAAATCATGCCAATGGATGATGGAAATGAATGAGGTTATCATCCATACTTACTACACCATCACAAAACTCTAAAACAGATGTGACAGTGTACAGTTACATCACTTATTTTCACAACATTATCCTAATCTCAGTCACTGTACAAAAGACAGTTGATCAAAAAAGAATTATACATAATATCCTTATACCACAAACAATACTAGAACATACTAAAACAACAAATTGCAGAACAATAATTACACCAATAAACAAATACTCCCAACAACAATAATCACATTATCCATCAGAATCATCAAGATGGATGCATTGACAATATTGTTCCTACAACCACTATTTTCACTGATGCTGACAGTATTAACCCTTCTTCACTACCTGAAATAGAGTATGAATTAAATCTGAATCTCTCTTCTTTTCCAAGAAGCACTCACTAAATTTACAGGCACTGACCCTGCGTAATGGTCATGCAATCCAAAAATCAACACTTCTAAACTAGTAGGGAAATCTCTATACTAAGTGAACACTCAACTTATTATCAGATTGCACTAATTCTATTTATATACTCTCAGACATCCACACAGTAGTCTATTCTGGTGCAGTTATAGTAATAACCTATCATGGACTAAAACTACATCCATGGACAGAAACGCACAAAACCATTCAGAAGTACTATGCATATGTAGCTAGAACTATTTCTAAGATTATCAGCACAAAACCTTTCTCACTTCTACCCTCTAATCGTAACCCCCTTCTCATCCCCTTCTAATCGTAACCCCCTTCCCATCCACGGTCGTTCGCACGCCTCTTCTTACTGTAGCGTTGAATATATATGGCCTCAACTATGACGTCACTCCCCACTAACCCCCTGTTGTGATTGTGCATCTCCTGTATGTAGCGCGCTTACTCAAATCTTTTCCCCCAACTTTAGCAAGTATCCTATCTGCACACCTCCCTTCTTTACCAAAAGTATGTATTTTTCGCCCTCGGTATCGTATACCTATCATCGACGATGACGTCACTGGTAAGACGATACCTGGGTAAACATTGGCAGCATTTAAACTTCTTCTAACCGACGCTCCACAGTGTACCCGAGGAAGGCCTATTAAGAAGGCCGAAAACGTTTGTACTCCAGTTAATAAGGCTAGAAATTAGTGAGAAAGGTTTTGTGCTGATAACCATTCTGAAGACTACCTGGCAAAGATGAATAGAAACAAATACATAATATTAGCAGCTAGGCAGGCTGACATAATATGCTAATAACAAAACACCACCTAAATTAATGAAACAACTAAAAAAACTTTTCAAGAAAATTAAAGCACAGCAAGAACAAACAATGCGATGTCCACACTGCAGAATACATTGACAGACATATTTGCTGCCAAAGCACAGTGACAAACGATACAAAATTTGCTCAGTATGGAAATATAAAAATAAATTATTCACAATGGAACACTTTTACAGGCAAATTAATTCAGTATTGATTCCCAATACAATGGCATGCCAGAACAACAACCTCACAAATTACTGGTGTTCTGTTTGGTCTACTGCTGTCAAGCACAATGCTGATGCAGAATGGATTGAAGAGGAGAACAAAGACATGCAGGACGCACCTAGTATGCATTATATTGAAATAAATACACAAGACATCCATTGCACAATGCAGAAAGCACACAACCAGACAACACCTGGAGCAGACAACATTCACAATTTCTAGTACAAAAAATTCACATCCATGTACCAGGAACTAACTAAACATTTAACTCATTATCAACAATCTACAAGAAATGCCAAAATTTTCTCACTACGTGAAACCATAAAACACCACCAAAGACCATACACAGTACAGACCAATTACATGTCTTTCAATGCTTTACAAGATTCTTACCTCTTACATTGCAAACAAAATATACAATCATATTGATTAAAAGAAAATTCTTACAGAATAACAAAACGACTGTCATATCTCTTTGTAGGCTGCATGTCATAACAAGGATATACTATTCAAACACCATATAAACTACAGCCGAATTTATTATCAATTTCAAACGTTTTCAGTCATCTTTTAATGACCTTTATCAAGAACGAACGAAAATCGAATGCTGACTGATTTGTATTAATGATAAATGTGTTATCGTTAAATGCATATCCACTATTTGAAACATTCCATTCATAAAAGAGAACTTAATAAATAAATAAACTTTAAAAGTATATATGTATTTTCAATAAAAATTGTTAAGAAAGATACCTTTTGCTGGATTTTCTTCTGTAATTCCTCTAATGTTGCCTGTTGTGCTGCATTTAAAGCTGACAATCTCTGTTCTCTATCTCTATATATATATATAAAACTTTTTAAAGCATTCATACTATTAAAATTGCTATAGATTTTTAAAAATTTACTATAGGCAGAAAGTTGTCATCATTCACTGCAAGCCTTTGATAATTAGTCCTCATAACTATGAAACTCCATAGCCCAAACTCAAGCTTAATTTACAAATACAGTATCAAAATTTTATACATCTTATAAGTCTCCAATTCTATTTATTTGAAAATTACTATTTTGAATATTTTAGTTTAACTTATTTTTTTTATTAACTTATTTAGTTTAACTTAGTTTAACTTATTTTTTTATTATTTTTTTATTAAGTTATTAACTTAACTTATATTTTAGTTTAGTTTCAGAAAATTAAAATAACAACACATTTGTAAAAAATTTTTATGTTATTCTAATTTTATTCATCATTATAATTAACAAACAACAATCAAATAATGTCTCTTTTTGCAATTATTTCTAAATACACTAAGAATTATTAGCATTATTAATTACATAGATAATATGCAATTTACCTTGCTTTTTGGTTAGCAAGTTCTTGTCTTTCTTTTTCTTTTTCCTGTAATTGCTGTTCTATTTTTAAATCTCGAAGTTTTCTCCTTTCTTGCATTTCCAATAATCGAGTTTGCCGTTTTGCTTCTAGAGCTTTTCGACGCTCCTGTAAAATAAAAAAAAAAGTCAACATTAAAAATGAAAAGATTAAATTTTTACATTTTTCAATTACCTCAGCCGCAGCTTCTTTTGCTGCTTTTTCTTCTAGTTTTCTTTGCCTTTCCTCCTGCAATAAACACAATATAGATATCTTAGTCTGTAAAACTTGGCACCATAATTTGATGTAATTCATATTACTGCTTATTAAGGAAATCAAACTCTTATATTCATTCTTCTCAGTATAATTCTATGTTTCATTTACTATAGACTTGTAACATATTTTGGCTGATGTTAACACTAGAGTGTCTGGACTAAGCTTACTTACAATACCTAGTATCTGTCAGATGACCTCTATCATTTCTTTTGCATTTTTGGCTGTTTTTTTTTTCATCATAAAATGTTGATACTGTATGTTTTTTTAACTTGTTTTGTTCTAATCAATTTTTGTTTTTTAATTATGGATATGTCTATACAGTAAAAAATTTTTCAAAAAAATATTTTTATTCGCTTACTCTTGGGGAGTGTCTTGATATATTTTACATGTCTGTTTTGTACTTAGGGATGTGATGCAGTTATCTATGAACTTGTTCCAAATATCAGAAGCTAAACAAAGTTTATCTGTGATGTTTTTGATGATGAGTCAACCTAATTTCAAATCAACAAAATTGCATGATTTCTAAAAATCTATTTTTTTGGCTTTGTTTGAGTGAAAAAGGGAGGATCCTATTCACAAATCTCTCAAAGAGAAACGTCTTGCACCATACAATACATAAGAATAAAGTACAGCAATGAAGACTTCTAACTCTTGTAAGCTCAAATTTCATGAATTATTATTGTATACAATGCAGGCTTCCACTTCAGTGCATTTCTTTATCACATGCAATATAGGATCACTAATGAATATGCAAAGTGGCTGGGGACTCTTTTTTCACGTAACATTTTGCATGTCATGTAAGATCAACATTCTCTCCATAAACATTTTGCAGATTTCTCCTACCTGGTACTGTTTACAGCTGCAATAAGTACCCATGATATCCCATCAACACCAAATTCCTTATGGTTGATATCTAATCTATCTTGAAAATGATTTTCTAGAGAACTTGTCAAGTTGGAGTAAGATAAGATACAAAAAGACCTAAATAAATTAGTATAAAGAAACATATTTCTCAGAGTTGTGCTATCTGTAATATTTTTGTTATCCTTTCTTCTCCCTGTTCCTTGAGTGGTGACATGATGGCAAGAGATGATCCTAATAGGTGAGGTGCTCCTGTGAGAAAACACTACTTCTATATATAAGAGGAAAAACTCATTTGTCATGAAGATTCAAGCAGAAATAAGCTCTTCTCAGTTGTAATTTTTATATTTATTTGCATGCTTGTTGAGTTTTGCTTACCTGGCTGGACTTAGGTGTGATCTGATAATATCTCTGGGGAATCATCCTGGTTGCTCTCTGACAATTCACTACTATTCACCCTTGCATAAAGTTGAAATTCATCACTAGAGTTCTTGGGCTTAGAGCTGCACTCTGGTTTCAACTCCTTTCAAACTGAATCAGAGATATATCATGCAGAGATTCCAGAATTTAATCTGCAGTGAGATCAAAGATACATAATAGCAACCTTGAGCAAAGGATACATAATGTTTCCTCACAATAATTTATAAAATAGCAAATGTAATGTAACCCAAACAGACACAATATAAANCGACGCTCCACAGTGTACCCGAGGAAGGCCTATTAAGAAGGCCGAAAACGTTTGTACTCCAGTTAATAAGGCTAGAAATTAGTGAGAAAGGTTTTGTGCTGATAACCATTCTGAAGACTACCTGGCAAAGATGAATAGAAACAAATACATAATATTAGCAGCTAGGCAGGCTGACATAATATGCTAATAACAAAACACCACCTAAATTAATGAAACAACTAAAAAAACTTTTCAAGAAAATTAAAGCACAGCAAGAACAAACAATGCGATGTCCACACTGCAGAATACATTGACAGACATATTTGCTGCCAAAGCACAGTGACAAACGATACAAAATTTGCTCAGTATGGAAATATAAAAATAAATTATTCACAATGGAACACTTTTACAGGCAAATTAATTCAGTATTGATTCCCAATACAATGGCATGCCAGAACAACAACCTCACAAATTACTGGTGTTCTGTTTGGTCTACTGCTGTCAAGCACAATGCTGATGCAGAATGGATTGAAGAGGAGAACAAAGACATGCAGGACGCACCTAGTATGCATTATATTGAAATAAATACACAAGACATCCATTGCACAATGCAGAAAGCACACAACCAGACAACACCTGGAGCAGACAACATTCACAATTTCTAGTACAAAAAATTCACATCCATGTACCAGGAACTAACTAAACATTTAACTCATTATCAACAATCTACAAGAAATGCCAAAATTTTCTCACTACGTGAAACCATAAAACACCACCAAAGACCATACACAGTACAGACCAATTACATGTCTTTCAATGCTTTACAAGATTCTTACCTCTTACATTGCAAACAAAATATACAATCATATTGATTAAAAGAAAATTCTTACAGAATAACAAAACGACTGTCATATCTCTTTGTAGGCTGCATATCATAACAAGGATATACTATTCAAACACCATATAAACTACAGCCGAATTTATTATCAATTTCAAACGTTTTCAGTCATCTTTTAATGACCTTTATCAAGAACGAACGAAAATCGAATGCTGACTGATTTGTATTAATGATAAATGTGTTATCGTTAAATGCATATCCACTATTTGAAACATTCCATTCATAAAAGAGAACTTAATAAATAAATAAACTTTAAAAGTATATATGTATTTTCAATAAAAATTGTTAAGAAAGATACCTTTTGCTGGATTTTCTTCTGTAATNTTTTATGTATTTTATTCATATATTTATTATTTTTTATTTTATTTTAAATTTCTATTTTTAACGTACAGTGGGTGATTTTTAACATACAGTATGAACAAATTCGATAATGAACACTTTCACGAGAGATTTTTATGTTTGGACAACAAACACAAGAAGCAGCAACATAAAATAATGAATATCGATTAGTCTTTTCTTGTCTTCAGGCAACAATTTGAAACTTTTCAGCATGTGGGAGATGTCTACATCGACACTCAACCTGGCATATACTGATCAGATAGCATTCCTCCAAACTTTGAAACTACCCCTTGTAATTCCAGCCTTTATTTTTCTGACAGACAATTTTTTTATAGTATTCGTGAGACTGTTAGATGGGCACTCATTAAGTTTTGCATCAGTTTTTATTTTTGAAAGGTGAGAGTATAATAACAAAAGTAGAGAGTAGGCAGATGATGTCTGATGTTGCTGGGTAGTATGGCTTTGAACAGGTCTACAGTAGGCCACAGTTCAATCTTATCTAAGAAAGACACAGTATAATCAAGAACACTCAAGCAGTTAAAGGAGTAACAAAAATCACACCTGAGAAATAAATAACATTGAAGAGCTCATAATGGAACCTGAAATGGATCTGATGACAGAAGAACGCCAAGAACTCTTAAATGAAGAACACCAAGAAACTCGGTGAGGTATGTTTTCTTCTGAAAAAAAGGATTAATGCCAATATGTGCTATTAAAGATCTTTTGAAGAAGTGGGAGGATATCAGAACAACAGTCTTAGAATTGCATCCAAGCCAAGTTGAGGTTAATAGGCTTGGGGATGAATACAATTACAATGCTATTACAGTAGAGCATCAATTATCCGACTCAATTGGGGACTGGAGTTGGTCGGATAACCGAAAAAACGGATAACCAAAAAATACAGAAAAATACATTAATATAGTATATCCCATGTAATTAGTATATTAGTATATCATTATTAACCTACTTTGTGTTGAATTTTCATCGATGTTAAGCCTAACAAAAATTTTTTTAAAATAATAATCGTTGCTATTGTATCATTAAAAATGAGAAAATTAAGCCTCGTTTAAACACTGGCTCCCTTTCATGGTCAAGCCAATGTTGCCAGCTAAAACACGTAAAAATAATATTCAAGTAGCCAAGACATAGCCAAATATTGTAGCGCCACATCACTAGCGAACATTTGAATTTATCGACTAGAACTCGGTCGGTTAACCGATGTGACGGTTGATCGGGGGTCGAATAATTGATGCTCTACCGTAATTACTTCGAAAAAATCCTGAAGAAGAGAGAAACACAATCGACATTAGACAGATTCTTTAACCCCCACAAATGGAAAAAAACATGAGTAATAAAAATGCGAGACTGTGTATATATGTATTTTTATTATTACATATAAATAAACATAGTAAGAAAGTATATATTTTTTATTTTTTGGAGTCTCTGGAACAAATTAATCAAATTCCCATAAAAACATATGGTAAATCGATAATCAGTTAATGAACAATTCAAATAGCAAACAAAGTCTTGGAATGGATTATGTTTGTTAACCAATCACTCACTCTATTATTTTATTTAATGTAACTGAAGAAGGTCAAGTCAAACTGATCAAAACCATTTTTAATTTTAATAAATACCTTACTGAAATTAAAAGTTACCCAAATTACCTCCAGATTTTCCTCTCATCAACACTGCAGCATCTGCAATCTTTCGACTACCACCAACCTTCTTGAATCAACTTATACTATTCTGCAAAATTTTGAGAAAAAAAAATCTACCTACATAATTTATATTGACATTTCCCAGGCTTTTGACTCAATCATCCCTAATTTACTACTTAAGACACTAAGTGATTATTTTGATCTAGATCCCGCTCTCTGCTGTTGGTTAAACAATTACTATTTATCCAGACTATGTAAGATTCATATTGGTGAGTTTGATTTTTTCCTTTTCCCCCTATCTGCGGCATACCACAAGGTTCTGTATTAAGCATGCTTTTTTTTCAGCTTATCTAGATAAATTACTGATCAATCCATACTTTAAAATAATTGCCTACGCTGATGGCATTAAAATTTTATCCAATGATCACTCTTTCCTTCAAGCTATTATTAATTCTTTATGTTCCACCTTTTCCAGCTATAATCTAAAAATCAATATCCATAAAACTGTTATTATGTGCTTTTCCCTGCTTTGCAATCCATACTGCCC